GGCCTCCTCGGGCGGGGTCGAGGGCGCGCCCCGGGTGCCGTCGGCTTAATGAGGCTCTGGGGAGGAGGCGGCTGAAGCCACTCAAGTTGCCGGGTCTCCTCACGGGAGCTAGGTTAGGACCCCGAAGCTGGCCGGGGAGCGCGAGCCTCGTCCTGCCGGCCGGCCATGTGCGGGGAGGGAGTACGCCGGGGCGGCTGCTGCGGGGGCGGGGATGGGGCGCTGCAGCCTCGTTGCCATCGGCGTGGTCAGGACCGCGGTGGGAAGGGGACAGCCCACTCCGCTGCCACCGAGGGCCTCTGCTGTGTCACTGTAGGGCTGAGCAACTCTTCCTGCCCTTGTCCAGGAAACCAAGACCCGGTTATCCATGTTGAGCGCCCTTCCCTTGGTTTGGAGGAGAAACCACAGGCCTGGGAGGGGGACGCTGTCGCCACCTCCTGTGCTGTGAGGTTGGGGCCCAGCTCCCAGCCCTGGCCCTGCAGAGGCCCCAGCCCAGCGTGGCCGGAGTCTTCCGAGTACAGCTCGGGAGGCTTGCTTTGGGGCCGGGTGGGGAGGAAAAGAAGAAAATGTACGAGGTTCAGAGAGGGGGCTTGAGGTCGGGGCTCGCGTAGGGTGGAGGATTTGGGTCCCATGAGCGCTGTCTTCTGGGACCACGATGACTACAGGCCTTTGGTGTTACTGTGTCTCCATCCTTTCCTGAGAACTGGGGGAGAGCGACTGGTGTATTCGGGTCCCTGCTTGCCCTTCCACGTCTGTGAGCTGATGGGGGAAGGGGGTGTCCCCTGAGAAGCCAGGTGAGGCCCTAACTGCGTCTGTAAAGGAACGTAAGCGTGCTGAGGCTGCTGCTGACCCCCAGACTCACAGCCTCGGGTGGCAGATAGCTATGTGGTCTGGCCAAAGTCTTGAGGTTTGGGCCTTTTTTTTTCTTTTTGGTAGGAGGATGGGACCTTCCTATCACTGAGCTACATCCCTACTTACTTAACTTTATTAACCTTTTAAAAATACTTTATCCATGGCATAATGGCTAGGCCTGTAATCCCAGCACTGGGGAAGCTGAGGCAGGAGGATTGCTGTGAATTCAAGACGGCCTAGGCTGGGGCTGGAGAGATGGCTCAGTGGTCTAAAGCGCCTACCTAGAACAAGTTTAGCAAAGCACAGGGACCGCGGTTCAATCCCCCAGCACCACATGCCAGCCAGCCCCGCCCCCTGGTGGGCTGAGCTGGCCACACACACACACC